TCTATAAAGCAAGCACACAGTTCTTCATCTATCTCCAAAGTTCGTTCTGCTATAATTCTCATCATCCCAATTGCATCCCTGGTTCCTTTTCCTCTTCTAAATCCAAACTGATCCTCTCCAAGTATATCCTCTATTTTCCTTTCAATTATTCTTTTAAGCAACTTTGCTATTATCTTTGCTGTATGTGCAATAAGGCTTATTGTGCGATGGTCGCTGCATTTTGTAGCTTTTGTCTTTTCTTTAAGGCAATCATTGTCACTTCCGTAAAGTCCTTGGGCTGTCAAAATTGCTTAGATACTTGACGTGGTGAAAGTTGCCTAAAATGGATTCAGGAGGTACCTTAAACCATTCCACAACTGCTTCCTTCCTACACAATTCATTATTCACTAGTCATCTTACCATTCATTTTCTGAAGTAAGCACTGTTCACTGTTTGTGCTGCCTTGTGCTTCTTGATACTACCAATATAATAGCTGCCAATGCTGTTGTTCTGGTCCAGATTCTGGAAGACAACAGTTATACTGTATATGGATCCTTTTTTTTTTTCTAAATCATCTGGATTCCTGGTGTAATTATTGGAACCCTACCATAACACTGAAAGTTTAAATGCATATTATTGAGGTATTCAAAATAGTATGGATAATTTTAAGCACATGATACCAACATTGCTTTTGCAAAAGGAGCCCAGCCCACTTTGCCCATTGGATAAAGCAGCTCTGGTTGTATGGTGGATGGTGGGACAGCTCCCTTGTAGTAATTGACAGCTTCTGTAAGTGGTTTGTTTCAGGTATAACTGTAAATAAAAGCTGTAGTAGGAGATTTACTTAACTTCCAAATACATGATGACTGTTACAGGTATGTGGAGGCAAAGGCTGATCGTGTAACCGTTGTATTCAGTACTATCTTCAAAGATGAGGATGACATAGTCATTGGCAAAGTGTTCATGCAAGAGTTCAAAGAAGGGAGACGAGCAAGCCATACAGCACCACAGGTTCTTTTTAGTCATCGGGAACCTCCTCTTGAATTGCAGAATACAGATGCTAGGGTGGGGGAGAATATTGGATATATAACTTTTGGTAAGTTGTTCTAATATTGGTTTCAGAATTGTGATTGTACTAGCTGTGAATCTGGGTGTCAGCCATTGATGGAAAGACTTGGGCTGTTTTTAAGAACGCTGTGTGTAGGAGAATATTTGGGCCTAAAATGAACAAATAACTTGAGGTTGGAAAAGGTGCATAATGAGGAGCTTCTTAATTTGTACTCTTAGGCAAGTGTAATTAGTATAGGTAAAACAAGGAAGATGAGATGGGCAGAACATGTAGAGAGAGAGAGTAAATGTTTGTGAAGTTCTGGTTGGAAAGTCTTAGGGGAGAGACCATTTAGAGAACCTGGGCATGGATAATAGGATAATATTAAAGCATGGTCACAGGCTGTTTGGTTCCATAAAAGGCACAGAAGTTCTGAATTAGCTGAGCAATTACTATATTATTAAGAAGTGTTCTGCTGCATGAAGAGTTCTGATCTTGGTATTATTCCATTATAAAGTAGTCACTTTTGAACTTGTATATCATAAACGTCATGATGAATTACTAATTTCAGTTTCAGTTAATTAGTAAAGTATTTTGTGAAAAGATAGTTAACCTTTATCAGCAATATATCAAACTATTATGATTGCATACAGGCAGTCCATTTGGCTGCCGTGTCGGTATTGTGCACTAAAGACATCAGTATTTCAAGCTAACCCGTAGCAATTATGACACTGTAATTTTCTTCACTGCTCTGTACAGACTTTCATTAGGCTTTCCTGCTGCGAATTGCTTGTAATATGTATCATTTTTAGCCTGAAAGGCACAGGTACCAGTCATATCGTACCCATGAGATCATTCAGTCAGTATGCCATTTCTTGACAGCTCTGAGATAACAGCATCTTTCTGCTCTTCTTTGTTAAAATAATTCAACTGTTGGGGCAGAGGCTGAGAAATATACATCCAATGTTTCATCCACTCAGCAATGACAGGGAATGCTTCTGACTTCCTGACATGTCTGTACAGAAGACACACATCTTTATGGCTGTAATGGAATGAATATGACATGGCCTCATGGACACATCCCCCCCCCCAGTCACTATATGTAAATTTCCACATTTTTGTGTCAGAATGAATCAGCCAGACAAGACTGACAGATTTGAGGTTTTCATGGTGGTGACTATGAAGAAAGCCATCTTCTGGGATGTGGCGCCATGTAGAAATTGTGTTAACCGGCGTTTCGGAGGAATATATCGCCTCCATCTTCAGGGTAGAAGACAAGAAGAAATCCACAAGCGAACCAGCTTGAGCAGGTGCAACAGACTGAGTCCAGTCGAGTAAACACAGCTGTATAAGCAAAGGAGGGAAGTGAGTGGGGCTACATTGAGAAACGGTAGAGAGGGGGAGGGGAAGGGTATGGTGAAATGGCCAGCAGGTAGCAGGCCAGAGCAGGTATAGAGTGTGTGTCAGGGGGAGAGAAGGGAAGGTTAAATGGAGAGCATTAACCCTGTAGCTCAGGGGCTGCGCTGGACCTGAGTAGCCTTGTGGATCTGGCGTCATATCTCAGAAGTTTCTTGAGGGAACAGCTGAGAGGCTTCCATGACTTGCTGAGACAAAACTAGCCTTGTGCTCTATGTGACAACCTACATGCGGAGTTTGTGCTCCTGGGGAATATTTTTAGGCAGAACAGATACAACAACCAGCAGATGCACAGAGTTCTCAGCCGTCGGCTGAACACCAGTTGGCCCAAAGATAAACCAAACTCAGTCGCCTTCCTGCCCTATGTCGGGACCATATTCAACCGTATCATCAGTCCCGGCACAACATCAAATCAGTGGGCCTGCCTCCAAAGAAATTATCTAGTTTCCTCTGGCTGGTTGAAGATAGCCTGGGACTAAGGAGACCGGGTGTATACAGTATCCCATGCGAGTGCAGCAAGGTCTATATAGGGCAGACAGGCCGTTCTGTGGACACAAGGTTGAAGGAGCATCAGCGGCACAACCGTCTCGAACATCCAGACAAGTCAGCTGTAGCTGAACACAGCATCGATTTGGGACACCGCATTCAGCTTCAGAATACGTCCATCCTCACTACCAAGACCCATTATATGGATCACATCATTAGGGAGTCCATTGAGATTGAACTTCATCCTGGCATTATGAACAGAGGTGGGATTTTGTCTCGGCAAGTCATGGAAGCCTCTCATCTGTTCCCTCAAAACCTCCGAGATATGACACCAGATCCACAAGGCCCCTCAGGACCATTGCAACCCCCGAGCTACAAGGTTAATGCCCTCCATTTAACTTTCCCTTCTCTCCCCCTGACACACTCTGTACCTGCTCTGGCCTGCAACCTGCTGGCCATTTCACCAGACCCTACCCCTCCCTCTTTCTACCCTTACCCTATGTAGCCCCACTCACTTCCCTCCTTTGCTTATACAGCTGTGCTTACTCGAAAAGACTCAGTCTGTTGCACCTGCTCAAGCTGGTTCGCTCATGGATTTCTTCTTGTCGTCTACCCTGAAGATGGAGGCGATGCATTCCTCTGAATCGTTGGTTAACACAATTTCTTCACACTGCCATATCCCAGAAGATGGCGGTCTAAATATTTAATTGTGAATGATATTGGCTCTTGGAAGGGGGAGTTATTTTCAGGCAGTGCTTTTGAAGAAACATAAATGCTTTGGTATAATGACTGAAAACTATAAAATGGCTGGCTGTACTTATGAATGTGTGCTTGAGAAAAGACAGACAAGGCTCAACTCAGATAATGACTGCTTCACAGATGATGGAGAAGAATCTTACAGGGGGAATATAAAGGGATAAGGAAGAACCTTTACTTGGACAATTGCATCTCTTCTCCAGATTTATTTATTGATTTGCACAGAAGCACTATCATCTGTTGTGGAACTGGCAGACAAAATTGTATAGAGATGCTATTGGGCTCTGACAGTAAGACACCAAAATCTGTTACACTAAACAGTGTAACATTATGTGCTAGGGTGAAAGGTGACTTGACATCAGTAAACTGAAAGACACATGACACACACGAACTTTTGGGTTCGATGTTAGAGAGAGAGAGACAGTTAGCTTCTCAATCAGGTCTCTGCTCCTTGGAGTTGGTTATAAGAAACATTTTCCTGGAAGACAGTTGGAGGCTAACTGTTAAAAAATGGATAGGAATTTTTTTTTCTTATAATCGGAAGCCTTCAGATATCCATTATATTTTAAGTGTTTTTACAAATTATAGTTACATTTTACAGAAATTCACTGTTTTCATAATAATGCTTCCATAACTCCACCTAATCTCTGATGTTATGCACTCTCTGTTCAGTGCTTGTGTGCATTTCAGCACTGACAGAAGAAGCTACTAAGTACTGTTCTCCTGCAATTTACTATTGCCATTGTAGACTGTTATTTAAAATTTCAGTTCAGTAATTTGTTGCTTTTTTACAGTATTATTTCCACGGCACACAAACAGGACAACACGAGACAACACCATCAACTTGATCCACATCTTTAGGGACTATCTTCATTACCACATTAAGTGCTCCAAAGCATACATCCATTCTCGTATGAGAGCTAAGACATCGGACTTCCTCAAGGTGCTAAACAGAGCAAGGCCAGAACCCAAAAACATGGAAAAGAAAACCATAACGTTAGTATAAGTTATTACAGTCTTTAACTAAACATAATTATGAATCTCAGATTTTATTTGCAATGAAACCTCATAATAATGTTCCTGCTTGTAGTGTTTTCCTACGTATAATGTTTATTTTTCATTATCTAAACCTAAGCCCTCCATGAACAATATACTAAGGGGTCAACAGATGTTGATTCAGTTTACCAGGCAAACAAAAGCCTACTCAGAAGACATTTCTGCATGAAAGAAACTGCACATACCTTTGCTTTATAATTTTTCCACACCATCCTACTTGTTATGACATACCATACAAAACATAAAATACTGTCTCTTGTAATATATGTAGCAGGATCAAAAAGTTCCCAGAATTCAGACATAATTTTTAGTAGAAAGGATATGTCAAAAAGAAAAACTGGTCACCCTCAAGGTACTGTCCCCTGCACATACACACTTGCACCAGCGGTCTTGCCACTGCTGGAAGCACCTCTGGAAGTCACCTACTTGTTTGCTGTGAGACCTGCTGTTGCCTGCTGGAGTCTCAAAAAGAACTACAAGTCATAGGATGGACCTGATGAAATGATGGCTAGGTGATATTTGAAATTGATTCTTTACTAAAAAGTGCTGCACTGCAAGCGAGGTGTGACAAGGTGCATTGTCACGTTGCAGGATCTAATTGTTTATTCATGGCCAACTGCGGCACACTGACGTGTCTCAGCCTGTTGCAACTTGCTCTACAGATGGCACACAGTCTACTCCTGTACATTCCACACCCCTCTCTTTAACAGGAAGTGGTTACCTCAATACAACTAAATTCCAGGAACTTTTTGATCCTCCCACATATGATTTGTATAGAATATTTTATTCATTGTTCATGTTGTTATGTGGAGTGTGGTGAAGGGAGTCACATCCTAGCATGTAAACACGCATTACCACCAAACATTCCAGCACTTCCTCCTCTCCCTGTTCTTTCTGGCGACTTGAAGTGCCTAGTCCACCCCAGGCCTTCTTTGGGTTTCCTGAGGACTTCATCCAGAGGGAGGCAGCCTGTGCATTTGTTGATGGATTGAAGGACCAAGACGTGAAACTGCACCTCCTGATGGGTGGCGAGAGGTCCCTCAGTGAAGCCCTTAATCAGATCCTGAAACTAGAGATGACAGACAAACCCGTAACAAAGCTGCAGGAGGTAAGGGCTGGAGCCCCCACAAGAACACAGCTGCCAGCAGCTGAATGTCCCAGAACTGGACAACCTGTATGCTGGTCCATCACCTCAGAAGAGACTGTTGGCAGGTACATGACAGGGAGGCCCACTAGGACTTGGAAAATGAGTAAGAGCCAGCATTAAGTGGGGGCCACCAGCATCATCACCCTCATATCCTCATTTCACACTCAGTATGTTAGCCAGGAGGAGTGAAAATAGCCTAATTTCAGGGGCTGCATAAGGGACAAGCCATGCCAAATGACCATTGATACTGGTGCAACTCTGACCATCACCACAGGACTGCATGAGAGGAAGCTGAGTCACCCATATATTCTACAGACAGCACCCAGGGAGACCCTCCTGCTTTGAAGGAGCCACTGATGGAGCTGACTCTAGGCTAGAGTATGCTACAAACTTGGGTGTTTGTCACAAAGATGATAACATAAATTCATCTTGGGACTGAACATCTTGTGAGCCGGTGATATTATGGTGGATCTGAACCACCATGAGCTACAACCCTGTTAAGAACAGGTGTCACTGTCCCTTCTCATTTGAAGGAGAAAGCTCTAGATCGCATCAAGTGGAAGAACTGTTTTGGAAGAGACTGTGGACCTGTCTTGACAGATTACTGATGAATCAATGAAACATTACATCTGTGGGAACTGCCCACATTCAAGCAAATGTGACAACGCAAGTATCATTGCTTAGCAATGGCGAGTAAACAGCTGTTGCTAAGCAATGATACTTGCATTGTCACATTTGCTTGAATGTGGGCAGTTCCAACACATCTAATCTGTTAACAGGTAGAGATACCTATTATCTTGTTCTGTGGATGGCATTTTTATAAAAAGTGTTCTTTAGTTTAAAGTATGATTTCACATGCATGGCTTTAAAAATTCTATTCTCTCCTAAAATTTAAAGAAATGTCACTCTATATTACATTCTGTGAATGCTGTTATTTTAGTGATTATACTGACTTCCATACAGACCTGTTTAAACAAGGCATTGTTTAAGGTATATTCCATATTTTCTTTGTGTACTACAAAGCAATGTAATTAATGTATTTCCTGACTAGTCATGTTTTTGAGATAGTCGTTTTTCTTTCAGTGGACGATCCTTCATAAGAAAAGAATGATTCCTCATGATGTATAGCATGTACAAAGAGATGCATCCTTCAATTCTCCTTTCATGAAGAGGAATCATCCAGCTGGCCTGCGCATGACTTATTGTACTGCAGTGGGCTTATGATTCTACCCTGTGTGGTTTCACATTCATGGGGGAGAATGCAATTCATCTGGTGCTAAGCGCCTGTCATGATCACAAGGCCACAATTTCAAGGACGCTGAAATCAAATTGTGATGGCACACTTCTTATGTGGCTTTGAGTCACTGGCAGATTTGTAGTTTTCTTTTTCTGTGTCAGGTTAGAGTTCAAAGTCGAATTAACTAAGAATGTTACCTTAGGATTGGAGTGTTCTTTCTTCTGTTTTAACAATTTTAGTGAAGTAATTATGTCCCATGATGTACAATTGAAGTCTGTTCCCTGTGGGATGGTATAATGCAGCACAATCGCCTGAGAGCTACCAGGAAATCGTTTGGCTGTTCAGGTGGGAGGGATAGTTGTTCCTTGCATCAGCTCAGGCAAATAGCTGGTTCACTTAATAAACCAAGGATATAACACAGATTACACTTTCTCTTCACTATCATCAAACTAAACTGCTGAATACCTACCATGAAGCGAGCTCACGTGTTATGTCCTGGCCAACTGCAATCCAGATCCCCTCTTATGGTATTAAACATCAGTCAAGTTCCTTTTGTCAAGATACCTCATGTGAATTACATGTAAGCTGTGGGGGATGCAGCATAGTTGGTTGAGGCAGTATGCTACAGGCTGGAAGGTCACGAGTTCAATTCCAAATGAGGTCATTGGATTTTCAGTTTACCAGATCCTTCAAGCTGCTCTATGGCCTTGGGGTCAGCTCAGCTTTTTAACTGAAATGAATACCAGGAATCTTCCCGGAGGTAACGAGTGGCCAGTGCATAAGGCTGACAACTTCACTGGCATCTGTGATCCGATTGTCTAGAAAATGTGGAAGCCTCAACATTTCACAACCCTATAGGCCTCCACGACTTGTTACAGGGATAACTTGACACTTTTTTTTATTTTTAATATGTTTTATGTGAGAATTTGTTGTGTAAGAAAGGTAAGGAGAAAGTTTCATTGTAAATTTAAGGATATTACAATTCCAAATAGAGAAACTGTTCATCCAGTCATAAATAAAGATAGACAAGACTTATTGCAGAAGAAAAAACCAAATCAAAATGCCAAGTACTCGCTAAAGAGAAGTAGGCTTCAGTCAGTGACAGGCTTCAATATTCTTATTGAAAATACCTGAAAGACCATGACAGAAGATGGGCTTTTAGGAAAATCAACACTAACTCAACAAAACTCATGAAACTTAAACCATATAAGATTACTGCTTACAGATAACACATAAGCTCACTTCGCAGTAGCTGTTTATCAGTGTACTGGAGTGATATTGAAGAGAAATTTTAATGCACATAGGATTGTCTTTTGTTGGCCCATCTCTCTCCTGCGTAAGCAGCTGAACAGTTTTTGGTTAGCCCTCAGACAACTGCACCATGCTGTTTGCAGTCTAGGAAAATAGGAAGTTCAGTATTTGTTTCAGAATCTAATTAAGTTTAGTCACTTTTTGATTTGTTTCATTCTGGTCCATCACACTAACAATTACAAAGACAAAACAACTCCATCCAATGTGACTATTGAAGTTTTTACTACTTGAAAACTTAACACCCTTACATGTTTCGGTCCCTATAGACCATCATCAGAGGGACATCGATACTTTTTGGAAACAACTATCACAATGGGTGTTTTGAGTGTTAAAATACATATACATACAATGTTTGTAATGCACAATATATACAAAATCCAACTTTTCCTCAACTACAGCAGCTTTCTTGGTATGCCACGAACAAACACAGGACGATACCAAGGTAGGACGAAATGACAAAATCGTTAATATATATATACACACACACACACAATAGGGTTGCTGAAATAATACAGTACCCATAATATATTTGCAGAATCTCCTTCTCAAGAGAGATAGGTGGCACAAGTTCAGCCCCCATCAAGAAAGACAATAGGAGAAGGGACACAAACCTACGTGGTTTATAAATCTTAACTTAAGTAACAAAGTTTAAAAATGTTAATATAACTAGAAAGCTGCTGTAGTTGTGGAAAAGTTGGATTTTGTATATATTGTGCATTACAAACATTGTATGTATATGTATTTTAACACTCAAAACACCCATTGTGATAGTAGTTTCAAAAAGTATCAGTGTCCCTCTGATGATGGTCTATAGGGACCAAAACATGTAAGGGTGTTAAGTTTTCAAGTAGTAAAAACTTCAATAGTCACACTGGACAGAGTTGTTTTGTCCTTGTAAGTTTAGTCCCATTTTAGTAATTGGCAGTATTTTATAATTGCGCTTCATAAGATAGATTTACTTGAATAAATTGCTGTTCACAGCATGCCGTTTCATTCCAAGTCATGACAATGACTAAAAAAATTATCCTCTGTGTAATATTGTCACTTTTCTATATCTGAACCCCTTTATTTTAAAAAAGAGCAGATTTTTGATTGGCTGCTGTTAGCCACCATGCTGTCAGGTTAAAGAGAATTACTGCAGCAAGTGCATTCCATACAGTTTTATTTTTGGAATACCTTGCTTCATCATACAAGTACTGCAGTTTGGAGCTTGCTTCTCTCAAAGTTATTTTCGTTTTCAAAGGAGCTAACACAGCATTTTTGGTAGAGTAATGTATTCAGTTAGATGTGAAATCTCTATAAAAAGCATTTAATCCTTGGGGTGAAAGCATTCCTTTCTTTCTTTTGAACCTTACTTTCTTCACAGAACTAAAATATTGAAATATGCCACTTATTTGTGCACCAGTCCCTCCAATTTGTGAGTAATATTTCAGAATTTTATTAATGAACACTCCAAGTCTAAGGTAACTTTACACCAATTTTGTACAACTCCGCAGTTCTTGTTGCTCACAGGAGTTCAATTTGAAGCTCAGTGCTTTCCTCCCAAGAAAGATAGTGGATTATGTGCAGTGAAAAGAATAGGGAACAGCTGGTATTAATTGTTGAATACTTTTTTTATCTTGTGAATATGTAATTAATCTCCCTGTGATTTATTATGCCTGTAAAATCATATTAATGAAAATGCAATAATAATGCATGTGAAATTCTTTGTTACTGTAGTGGACTGAAATTGAAGTGCCACTACCTCAGGCAAAACAGAGTGTGTTTAAAACCCATGAAAATAAAGTCTTAGTTGTGTGAATTTTGAAGACAAGGTCAGTGAGTGAGTGATGTGGAATTGGTGAGTCTGTGTCTCATGTCCCTGCTACTTGGATATGAAGATTTGGAAGATTGGGGACTGACAGTTTGTACTGTATAAATGTGCATAGATTAATAATGGTGTGTGGTGTGCTTGATGCATGACACTCCACTGAACAGCTTGGCATGATGCAAGATGTGTGCATCATATCTTTTGTCAGTGCCACAAGGCTTGGCTTGGGATTGTAGCACAATTTTAAAAGGGGAATATGAGAAAGCATTTATTTTTCAAAGTTGAACCTAATTTTATTTTCCTGTCCTGTATATTAATACGAGTAATATCCTAGTTCGAGCATGAAAGTGAGGATGACATTCTAATGTCAATTATGTACCTAACACAGATTTGTTCCTCAGAAATTAAATAATAATTTGCCAAATAAAACCAGACGAAATACCGCATAGCAAAGGGACAGTTTACCGCAACAAAGCTCCTTTCATGTAGATCTCTTCTGTCTTTCAAGAAAGAGACTTTACGTAATGTTGTAATTGCTTGGTTACCATAGCTTGTTATATTGTTACTTCTTTTTACAACCCCCTTGATTTCTGACTTTGATGGTTCAGTTTGCCTTAATCATTTCAATACATTATTTATAATAATTAAAGTTCTATTAATTGTGTTTTATAATAATTATACTACATTTATTAATTAAAATATTGACAGTTTACTATCTTTTGTTGTGTATGTAACTTTGAATTTGCTAATACAGAAGTTTGTCTTCCTGAATGTTTCCATGTTGTTCAGTAACCATGTTATGCCAGGTGTGTAACTCAGCCATTATGATGAAAGAAAAGTGCAGGTTGTTCATTAATTTACTATCATTACATGAGATAAGGAATGCTGATACATAAACAACCTGAAATTGTGTCAGTGAAGTGATGGTACAGTATCATGAGCAGTCATTTAAGGATCCAGGTAAGTCTCGTGTATATTTAAAATGATACAAAAGAAATGAAGTACAGAAGTGTATTTTCTCTTTAAAGTTTTCTGTTTAGTTTAGAACATCCTCAGTCTATCTTCCTCTTATAATGTTAGAGACCAAGTTTCACACCCATACAGAATCTCAGAAAAATTATAGTTTCATACATTATAATTTTTATGTTTTTGGACAACAGACGAGAAAACAGAAGCTTCTTGACTGAATGGTAGCAAGCAGTAACCAAGTTCAGTTTCCTCTTAAATTCCTCCAGAATTAGGTTTTGATTTGTTATTGTTTTTTCCAAATCTGAACTGTGGCACATTTTCAAAACATATGTTACCTAACTTTATGCCATGATTTTGTCCTGCATTTTGGTAACAAGACACCAACATATACTTAGTTTCCTCTGTGTTTACTTCTAGGCCAACCTCCTTACTAGCGTCAGTTAATTTTGTGTGTTTTTCTTTGTGGTATCTGTATTATCACCCAGTAGATTCATATAATCAGCATAGACCAACAGCTGATGTGTTCCATTTAATTTCAGTCCCACCTGGTTTCCCTGGACCTTCCTAATGGCATATTCTAAAGCAAAGTTGAAAAGGGGTGGCGATAAAGCATCTCCTTGTTTTAGACCCTTCTGGATAGGAAATTTATCAGACAAATATTTACCTGTACAGACTTTACCATATATTTCCTTTAAAGACATTTTAATCAGTCTGACTAGTTTCATGGGTATCCCAAACCTCCCAAACTCTATCAAAATATTGTACAATACTTCCCTCCTAACAGAATCAAAGGCTTGCTTGAAGACTGATATACTGTCTCATTGTACTCCCATTTTTTCTCCAATATCTGATGAATGCAAAAAGATCAGATCAGAATTTGGTCTGCTATGTTGAAACCCACACTGATGATCCCCAATAATTTCGTCTATGTATGAATTTAATCTTGAGAGAAGAATATTGGATAAAATTTTGTATGAAGTTTATAGCAGTGATAGCCCCTGATAATTACTACAGTCAGTCTTATCACCCTTCTTGTGAACTGGTACAATAATAGATTCCTTCCACTGATAAGGCAATTTTTCTTATTTCAAATAGAAGTAATTAGCTTATGCATCTTAGAACTTAATTTGTCACCTCCTGCTTGAATAAGTTCTGCTGGAATTTGATCACTACCTGGCGATTTATACCTTTTCAATTTTCCAATAGCACTTTCAGCCTCAAAAGTCCTAGGATCAGGTTCTAGTGGCTCCACTGCATGTATTTCTGTCTGCCTAACGTCACTGACCCTATGTATATTCAGTAACTGAGAGAAGTAGTTCTTCCACCTGTTCAAAATGTGGGAATCTGCAAGCAGATCACCATTCTCATCCTGCACTAAGTTACTTCTAGGTTGGTAACCCCTCTTGAAGTCATTTATTCCACTATACAGGTCTCTAATGTTCTTGTTCTTACTGTTCATTGCAGGCTCATTAATTTTGTCTCAGATATTCCCACTTTTTGTTCCTGAAATGTTTGATGGTTTCACATCTTATATTGTTCAGATTATCCCCATTTATTTTGCTTGGATTCTGTAACCACTGCAGTTTGGCTTTGTTTCCTTTGGTCTAATAATTTTGAGCAACCTTCATCGAACCATGGCTTATGCTTCTTTGGTTCATAATAACCTAGACTCTCTTTGGCAGACATTTTGATGTTCTCTCTAATAGTTTCCCAAGCTTTATTAACATCCACCTCAGTGTCTAAGTTTTCCAAAGCTGCAACCCTATTTGAGATTTCAGCATGATATGCTCTTTACCCTCTACCTCATTTAATTTCTTGATATTGAACATCATCTTATGAACTGTGTGTTGTTTATTTACTCACTGCTAGTTTTTCCCTAACCTTTGCCACCACCAGGTAGTGGTCATTATCACAATCTACTGCCCTGAATGATCAGACATCAGGTGTATTTGAATATGGTCTCCTGTCTGTCAAAATATAGTCAATTTGATCATGCGCCTTCCCATCAGGAGGCATCCAAGTAAATTTATAAATGTTGTGATGTGGAAACATTGTACTTTTGACAGTAAAATTTTTCAGTGTGGCAAAGTTTACTACTCAAACTCCATTATCCTTACTAATTTCATGCAAACTCTTATTCCCAATCATTGGTTTGAAAATGTCCTTTCTCCCTATTTTTGCATTGAAATCTCCTAACAAAATTTTCATATGGTACTTTGGGAATTTATTAAATACAAATTCTAGTTCTATGTAGAACCTGTACTCTGTATCATCAATTTTATCTTTTGTTGGGGGATGATCATTCAGAACGTTGATCTCACAGCAGTGACCTCTTAGTATTATGTATGACATCCGATCACTAACGAACTCTACTCTCTTAACTGGTGGTATGATTCTCTTATATACAAGAAAGCCTGTACCTAATTGATGATTATCATTCCCCTTTCCATAGAAAAATGTATATTAACCTGCTAGTTTGGTGCCACCTCCATCCCACCTGACTGTACTCCCACTAAATCTGACTTATATTTTGAGATTTCTTCTGCCATTGCCCTGAGCGAACCTGCCCTATACATACTTCTAACATTCCAAGTACGGAATCTCATATGCATTTTCTTTAACCCAGATCGTTTATCCAGAGGATCAGTCCAGATATGAGGCTTTTTGAACATTTTCATAACAAGTTTATTTTTTATGGTGAGGAGCTGTTAGCCCCGCACCCAACCTCCAAGCTGGAGGACAATCCCTTGTCGTTTGTCAGCGACGGTTTATTCAATATATTTTTGCAGCTTCCCTCCATACTTGGATGGTGTCTCCTCCATTCACAACCTGAGGACGTACCAGGCTGCGGTGACAAGGGACCCTCCTAACATGGAGGTTTTTGCCTGTTGCTTCCAATAAAGGGGAAGTTGGAATTGTTCTTTTGTCTGTATGCTTTGCATTGACATTAGTTGGGGGTAAGTAGTGAGCTCCTTATTCTGTTGTCTCTGAGGAAAGAGCTCCTAGAACTCACTGGATATGAAATTGGTTGAGTAGCAGAGCTAATGGAGATATTGTGGCAAGGTATTTATTTTGCTACTGGTCCACATAATCTTCATGTTAGGAGAATCCAGGCAGAAGGGAAACAAGTTACATGAATTTTGTTGCATACTGTGACATAAATACAAAGTACTGTAATACAATTTCTGTATGAGGAGCTAAAAAGAAGTATGAATTTTAAGATAATCATATTAAAATTGCAGAATGAACAGTTAAGTGTGTTTCAGAATTATGATACACTGAACCCGCAACTTAAAAATTTTTAAGAGAATATCAGAGGTGAAGGTAAAGTCCCTGTGCTTAATTAGTTAAGCATTATGCCATGAAGACATGGGGGTGTGGAAGTACAGCTCCTCCTCCAGTGACGGCACTAGATGGAGGTGAGTGGGCAGATTCATGGCCCTGCTACTTTACCCCCAGAGAAAGTGCCACCAATACCCAATGGATAAGAGGCTGGGTGGGCCCCAGAGTCAGTCTGGATTCTGTGGAGAAGAGAAAAATCTTGCACTGCCAGGAATCTAACCCAGGTCTTCCAGCCTGTAGCCTGGCGCTATACCAGCTGGGCTATCCAAACAACAGAGAATCAAGAGAATGTAAAACTGAGGTAATGGATGTTTGTTAAGAAACATAAAACTGATATGTGAATTAATAGTTAAATAAATCCACAGTGTACTGTGTTCTTAAAAATTTACTCTAATTACTTCAATGTTGTCAGATTAATAAGAGGTATATGATTAGCAGGGCCCAGATTTTGATGACATGTTATCTTTTTTCCTTGTATCCTATGCGATGCTCTTAAATGTATAAATCTTGGATATGATCTGCTGGTTGCAGAAATGTAAATTTTAAACGTAATTTTTGGTCGTTTTTTGACATATCAAGGTTTAAGGTCATTTTTTGGTAAATTTTTGCACTTTTAAGGGTATTTCTTGTCATTTTTGGCCATTTTAGGGAATTTTCTACATATTTTCTGAAATGTGAATAACATGGAAGTGAACTGTTCTTTCTCTTTCTCCTTTAGGTCATTTTTCTGAATTTTTCGGTCATTATATAGGTCATTTTTTTAAATATTTTCAGGTCATCAAAATCCAGGCCCTGCATATTACATTTTTGGGTCATATTTTAGGTCATTTTTCTGGATTTTATAGGTCATTTTTTAAATATTTTCAGGTCATCAAAATCTGGGCCTTGTTGGTTAGGCTATTGCTTTACAAACTACAGAAGTGAAGTCTGTGGTGGATGAACTAACTAATCTTCAGTTGGTACTCAGCTTCCTGTTATCGAGAATTATCTCTTGTTTTCGTTCAGTGTTCCCTTCAACGACTGATGTGGATGGTCTGGATCAGTGATGTTAGTCCATCCATTCAAAACAGTCATCACAGAGGGCTGACAATCTTTATGACTTTCTGTCAATCAAAGTAGTGCACCCTGCTTCCCCTTGGAACCTGAAGGTTCATTACCGTTTCTACAAGAGCTCTTCACTTGTCCCTGTCATGAGCCAGACATATCCAGTCCATATCATCCCATCATATTTCTCAAAGATCCATCATGTTATACTCCCACCTTCATCCAGGTCTTGCCAGTGGTCTCATTTCTTATGGCTTTCCCACCAAAATCCTATATGCATTTCTCTTCTCTACCATGCCTTGCACCTGTCACTTTCCTTAACTTGATCATTCTAAGATTACGTAAATCATTACAACAATAGGGAGGTTCTATGCTTATGGTTGCTTATGAATTCAGCCATGGTGCCGGTTGCAAAGAAATATGTTGATATTTTGCAGATACCTCTAAATTCATTTGCATAATACATGTCTCTTGTATGAAACATATAGCAGAAATATGGCAGCCATGCAAATTGTATAATGATAATAGGCCATTTCAGCTAAGCATGTGACATATTGACTGGAAAAATACCCCTGGTATATGTTGGATTGAAGACAGGGAGCCTGAAAGCTGTGGAGGAAAATATCTGTCTCTCCCATGAATTGAATCTTGATCCCCCGGCCAGCTAGCCCATGGCCCATTATTATTATTATTTGGGAAGAGGTTACTACTAGTGTGAGTTCAGATATGTACTGTTTATATTAAATTTGCTGAATGTAACTTTAAATATTCGCACATTGTTATGTATGTAATGGTTGACTTATACAAAACTTGCGGGTATTAACTATTTCCATGCCAAATTTCATGCAGTTTTTCATTTATCAATTTGAAAGTGAAATATAAATTTCATATGGTCACCATGTTGTTTTATAATCTACAAATGTTACCCATATAAGAGTGCATTTTTTAACCTCTATCACCATGCATCATTTCACAAACCTAGAGTAATTGCCCCTGGTGTACTCCTACTATCCGTTGTGTTTTTACAGTTTTTACTGACAGCAGGAACTTCCCAAGTGTGAGGTTCAGGTGGCCTTTGATAGCATAACATTAATACTACATTTCATTGATGGGTGGGGGTTAAGAGATTCAAAAAGTGAAAAGAAGGGACAAAGATGGCAAAGGACAGTAGGCATAAATATGTAATTAGAATTGTTACACGTCACTTTGGAGTGTGCCAGATTAGTCGTTGCTAGACACACAGCCTAATGATCTAGGAAGATTGCCATGGACCATGGGTACCCAGCATGATGGGTCAAGCCAGGCTCCCCCCTGGGGGAATAAAAAATCAACCTTAATACCCGCATTTTAAGTGTCTTTATAAATGTTCTTCATCCAATTTTTTTTATTGCTAGTGGGGTGGGGCTAAGTCCCTTGCACTGTGGCCACTTCTGGCCTATTGTATCAGCCCCAGGTGATAGGTGAAGGTGATTGTGGAGCAATTGGTGGAATGAAGATTGGCAGGGGAAACCGAAGTACTCGGAGAAAACCTGCCCCAGCGCCACTTTGTCCACCACAAATCCCACTTGACCAGACCCGGGATCGAACCCGGCCCGCCGCGGTGGGAAGCCAATGACTAACCGCTTGAGCTATGGCGCGGCCTTTCTTTATCCTAAATACTATAAGGCGATTAATAAAATACCTTTAAGCTTAAACATAATTTTCTAAGCAAATTTTCTGCCCACCTTGAAAAAGAACTTAGGGGCGCCCTTAGAGGTCTACACAAATTGGTTACAATATTCAATAGTAAAACTACAAAGAATGACAATCCATGAAGGTGTTGGATATAAAGCACCATACTAGATGCAAATAAGCATTCAGCTTCACGTTCAGGCCACTGTGCCTCTTAGGTGAGGTGCTAGGTTTGCCTCGGGTTACCGCCCAGACGATATTTCAACACGTCGTCCAGCCCGCAATGCCACGTTACTGAGCTTCATGTTCACACAGAGGTTGCTTGCAATAATTTATTAAATACAGCAGCATGAAATGCACGAGATCCATCAGGTAATGTGACGGGGCGTGGGGAAGCCAGTTGATTGCCTGGCAGGGTGTGGTCCGTTTTCCGGCCTAACGCCTGCCAGCAGGTAGGTAGTCTGTTTGTTAAAGCGCAAAGTGCACGAAGCATCTTGTACTGAGCATCGGGATGTCTGTTTCCACATGTACGCCATATACCGAAAAGGTTAGTTGGTTTCTATTATTGTGGTTGTGAACTGTAATTACGTATCGCGGATTATTTCCTCAAATCCCAATATGGAAGAAAGAATGCGTGCTTATAGTTGGCGTAAAGGTTTATATTTCTTAAAAAACATCCATTACACCTGAAAGCGTACATGATATGAACTATTTATGTAGTATTTATCAGGGAAAAGAGTGGTGGGTTTGTTCAGAGCTATCAGGCGCGACGAATCAGTACGCGTAATCCCCTGAACTGCTGATCGTCTTTCACTTAATCATTTGGCTCACGGGGAGACTGTGCGACCTATTTATATAAAATCACTCCGTTTTTTTTTCCTGGGTTATGGTGTATCAGAAATGAAAAAATGATACAACTGGTCATAATATAGCAATATTTTAATGTTTACGCAAATTAGGCCTATGAACTTCAACAGGTTTTCATCACAGAATTTCAAATTAAAGTTTAAAGATGTTCCGGGTCGGTCACCCAGTAGAAAATTGCCAATGTTTTTTTTTTCTCCCCGTTGGCGTTTGTGAATTAACCAAGTGGCTGGTTATTGGCTGGCCTACCGGACTTCGATTACCTACAGGGGCAAGAATTCTTCACCATGACGTCTGTGTCGATTCTGGGGCCCTCGAAACCTCCTATCTGCTGCATATGGTGGGTTTTCCTAGGGAATAACGCATCCGGGATGTGAATATGACCACTCAGTTCATCTTGTGCCAAGTTCAAAATTCATTGATCCCACACACATCTTTATTATTGATTATATGGGCAGACCCAGACGTAGATTGAAGTATATTATTAAAATTGACTTAAAAATATAAGACTTGAAAATGTGGAGGTGAATCGTCTGGCTCAGGATAGGGTCAAGTGGTAGGCTGTTTTGAAAACTAATGAACTTCGAGTACCTTGAAGGATGACGAATTATGGAGTATCTGAGCGACTCTCAGTTTCTCAAAGGGACTCTCCTCCAAGGAATTAGTGATGTTGACACATACGAGTATGTTGAACGACCTTATAGCAAACAGCACAGTACGAAATAAAGCGTCTTTGTTGCCTTGCTGCAATTTGGAACGACAGGATTTTATCTTTGCATTGTGGAATATAAATACGAGTATAAGGGAATCAGATAACTACACGAGAAAAGTACTGTATTGACCCAAATACAAGGCGATTTTTTTATGCTGCTACATAGAAAGGAGGGGTCGCGTTGTTTTGGGGTCCTTATACGGTTTATACATTATTTCACGGATCCTGCTTCGAGTAAAGTCCGTCATATAATTTTACTAACTTCCTCAGACACTGATCATTGTAACCACGATGATTTACTTTTGATTGATCATTCATCTCTCGAGCTTAAATAAATGTTATATTCAATGAACATAAAAATCAGTCATTCAAGTAATGCCACTGGCGTTACTGGAAGTACATGAATGTTTAGATCAATCTATGAGCCGGTTGTTCAGAAAATGTGACAGCCTCGAAGTCTCACAGCCCCGTGGGACTCCACGATCTGTTACAGGGATAGCTTTTCTCTTTTACCACGTCATTAATGCGGAAGACAGGCATGGAATCGAAGAGCCACTTATATTTATCATGGCACTGGACGGAAAGGAATGTTCCACTTCACCCTTTGCTCACCTCTACCCATCGAAAGCCACAGGAAAAGAGTTTTGAGAATAATGGGTAAGATTTGAAGCAGATGTGGACGCAACGGTGAAAATGATCCAAAAGTCCCTGCTGTGAACTGAGCCCAGTCTTTGTTTCCGACCTGTCTCATCTTCATGTTGCTTTACACTTGAGTAATGGTCTTATGACTTAATAATATTCTCATACAATAAATATTTTGTACGGGTTACCTGGAAATTCTTCGTGTGCATTTATGTGTCCTCATACAAAATCGAAGAACGTAATATGGGCGAAATGCCTCAAAGTTTAAAATTTTTATGGCTTACAGTGTTAAAGTTGAATAATATAAAACCTGAAATTATTAAAAGGAATGGAACCGAATTTAATGTTTCATACTGCAGACATGTTCTGTGAAACTGATTCCTTCCATCTCTGACATTGATACCTGCAGCGTATTCTGCTGGTTATCTCTCCTTCATATTCTCTACGTCGCATGTTCAAATTTTGGCCCGGAGTCCTGTTATCTTAGATGAGATAGTTCGTGGCTTTTCTCAGTCCCTCCATGCAGAAACTGGGATAATATTTTAAAATAGTCCACTACTGCTACCTTCTACACCATTTAAAACTTATTCTATCATTCGACGCTACATGACCTTATCAGTTGTATTTAATATCAAAGAATAATTATAAGCGTGTTCCTTTTTAGGATTGCCTGGCGGGAAGTACTGTTCAGTCAGCGACCGCAAATGATGAATGGCTGGAGACACATGTGGCAGCTGGGTTCAAAGTTTGGCAGATCATGTTTCTTTGCTTCGCGGGTCTCCTGACGTTAGGTAACTTCATCTTGTATTAATTCCAAATATAGCAAAATATTCTCTTAACCTGATTAAACTATGTACTTATATTTGTATAGAGCCAGGATAGCGCAGTCGGTATAACGACTGGCTGCAGGCTGGACGATCAAGGGGTCGAAGTTCGAATCCCGGTGGGGGCAAGAACTTTACTTCTCAAAATCGTTCAGACCGGCTCTGGAGCCTATCCAGCCTCTTATCCAGTGAGCTCTTTCCTCCGGAGTAAAGCGGCCGGGTCGTGAAGCTGACCTCTCACCTCCAACTAGTGCCGAGGTCAAGAAAACTTGGGTCTATACACCCACTCCCCCATACGCCTTCATGACATAGTGTTTAATTAACTGAGAACAAGGACAACTTTACCTTTTACCTTTACTTATATTTTTATAACTTTCTACATAAAAGTTGCAATGGCTACATATTAATTATTGTTAACACTGATTTTTGCTGTAATATTTAATTTACTCTCCATATAACGAAGAGGTAATATTTTAGAAGAATTTGCATTAGCGAATAATCCTGATTTTATTAGCCGCTGACGTAAGTCCTTGTTTCATCTCAAATTTATTTTCGTATTGTAAATCCTGTTAATCACTTCCTGGAATACGTTTCGATTATTTGTTGGGAACCAGGATGTAATATAAAAGGACAACTCGTCCACTTGTTTTGTATGAGTGTGATATGTGGTCCTTTATTTCAAAGAACACAAATGACAAGTTCTGAAAATAATTGGCAACAGGTGAAAAAAAATAATGAGTAATTGGGGATATCATCCAATGAGGAATTTTGTCATTTGTACATATCACATAATTACTATTAGGACACTAAAACCTGGGAAGCTTAAGTAGATTAGATATGTGTCTATTTAACTAGGACGTGGAATTGGAGGAATTCATGTACAATTTTGGCGGGGAAACATCCACTCAGAAGACGAAGAAGTGCACAAGTTATGATGAATCTTAAAGTGACTGATTGTGCGGATGGGAGGTCATGGAGATGGCACAGGGTCGTTTCCAATTATGTTCTTCTGTACGTGTATTAGCGGTGTTTAATTTTTGGCTTCTGCTATGTTAATGCAAGACTAAGATTCGCTCATCAGGCTGGGTCGGACTGTTTCAGAGTGACCGCCGTCGGTTAAACGTCGAGACAATATATTGTATTTGAATAAATTGAGATCCCGTACCTACTTTTATGTTTTTTTAAGCATACCACTTTACATACCCTTACTGTGTCCAGAAGCTTTGACTAATACATTAACAATGATAATTACAACTTTCAATTCAATTCGTAAGGGGCCGCCTTTCAGTAATCTGAAGATTTAATAATGCCCACTTTTTTTTTCCACTGTTTAAAACACAAATACTGCATGTCAAAACTTTCAGCACACTTATATTATAGATGCGCCAGTACGTTGTTTTGCTATGACATGCAATATTTCTTAATCCTTTCTCTCGTCATCATGATAATTTCTAGACTTAAAGTCTTTATGCAGACGGAAGACAGCATACTTAACTGCCAAAAGCACATAACACAAAACTGACCTAAATCGAACATATTGTGTTTGGGTTCCAGATAATCAGTAAATGAATTTAAAGTCATATAAGTATTTTAATCGTCATTTTACACTAGTATTTCTACGTCATAGGCAGACCATGTCAACTTTTAATAATCCTGTTGGTTCCACGACGTCTGCACCACACGTTCTCCTTTCTACTATACATACATTTCCTAAATCTCGAACATTCGTAACATGATTACTTTCTATATCTTATGGTTATTGCCGTCAACACGACAATAAAACTGAATATCTTATGGTGAAGATAAAAACAGATGTTGATATGTGTCTTACTTATTTAATATAAGCATGGATTTCTTACTACATATTTCGACCTATGATTTAGGTCATCATCAGGCACCTTCTATGATCTATAACTCAAGTTATTAAAGTCAGTTGTCCCAAATTGGATCCATATTGTGCAACTGGTGTCTGTTGTTGCAGGCGAATACTTATTTGTAGAGTGATAGTATATCTATATTACAAAGTTATAATGAAGCTTATGAAAAGTAGTTACAATTTAAAATTTATAAGTTAAATATAACAAACACAAAATATTTTCCCACATTATATTTATTATAGGAGTTTAAAATTATTAGCACCTTCTTTAATTTTGGATGTTTATGCTATAGGAAACTTAAACGTCATCGTACTGAAGACGTGCCACATTAGTCGTTTGCTTGCTGATGTTCTTAGGTGTTGTGAAAATGCTGTGTGATCGTGTGCCTACGTGCTGGTTGGGGTCTTCGTGCTACCTTCTGCTTTGTAGCTTTTTACTGCGAGTGATGTGCTCGTAATTTCGTGTTTTCTTCCTGTGTTTATGCTGGACTGAGATAGGACAGTTAGGTGTTCCAGTATTAGTGAGCACTATAGTTGCCCCCTGTTAGTGTGGTGTTATTCGTGCAGCTTCACGATTCCAGGAACTTGCATTTCTGTCGACATTTTTATTTAGCTTTATTTCTCGACTACATTAATTTCTATGTCCCTGTTCTGTAGTTCATTCTATATAGCGACTGGGTTAGGGGCTGAACGATCGAGGAATTTCAGTTAGATTCTCGATAGAAGCAAAGAGATTTTTATATTCTCCAGTGTCCAAATTGGCTCCAGGGCCCACCCAGGCTCCTGCCCGATGTTTCGGTACACTTTTACCGGGGTGAGGCTTTCGGGATGTGAAGATGATCACTCACCTCCGTATACTCCCGAATTAATAGTGCATGGAGCTACACTTCCACTCCCTCTACATCTTCATGCCATGGTATGTAATTAAGCTCGGGGACAATTTCACTCCTTACGTTTGTCTTTCTATCCATGGAACAGTAAAAGTGACAAAGGGTCACAGTATTAATGACATTAGAACAACGGCACAGGGAAGATTTTAAGTTTCGCAGACAGTATTTTACTTATTCCTGTTCATTAGGTTCATTACGTTTTCCTGCCCCCAGATTACTGGTAAAGAGACTTTCTGAGCAGTTCAATTGTCGATACTTATCCTGAAGATGCAACGCCTTGCAACTCGATCCTGTACTAAGCTAGTTCAATCCGGTTCACGTCTGTATCGATTGCCTTCAGCCAGTGTCGTAAACGGATGACTCGCGGACCCACAGTTATCTGCCAAACCAGTGTAATTAATTCAGTTGATCTTTAACTTTGTATGTGGATATTGAAACATATAACCCTTTTCTTGCATTTTGAAGGCATGCGCTTTAAATTTAGGACAGAATAGCAGCTGTCCTGACTGAATTATTCTGTGGTTCTGCCTGAATTCTTCAGCCATATTTTGTGATAAAGAAGGGCAGAGATTTGCTTAGGGGAGTGGAGGTGTAGCCCTACAATTCTACATGGAGATGAGTGGTCAGCTGCATGCCCCGGCAGCTCTATCACATGGGAAAAGACGCTGGTACCTATCAGATTGGAGGCTGGATTGGCTTCAGAGATTGTCTGAACGCTGTAGACTAAAGAAAAATATTTTGCCTCTTGCATTTGGAAGAAATGAGCTTTTAATCTAGGACCAAACATCAGCTATTCTGACTGAATAATTTAATTGTTCTCCATATTTTTTCCAGCCGTTTTTCGGGATAAGTGAAAGGTAAAATTGTGCTTCTGGGGGTGGAGGTTAAGCTCCACCATTCTTAAACTCGATGAGTGGTCAAGTTCACGCCTCGGCCGCTATATATCCCGGGAAAGAATCACCAGTACCCATTGAATAGGATCCTGAGTGGGATCCAGAGCATGGCTGAACGTTGTGGAGTAAGTTTTGCCTCTGCCGGGAATCGAGTCGCGGTCGTCTAGCCTGTAGCCCGTCGCGATACCGACCAAGTTATCCCGGGTCTTCGTATCTTGGGATACCAACATAAACGACACCACGACGGCTTCCTTTTAACTCTATCATAACCTATAGTTCACACTTTTAGAATTCTTAATTCAATGTTGTACATGATGTGCAATAGGAGCAATAGCGATAAATATGAGTAAAACGAAAAATATCAAAATGCAAAGCCGAATATTATTGTTGCAATTTATAAAAAACTAGGCCTACATGGAGCCAACTCCTTCTTCATAAGGCAATAGTAGCTCAGCTTGTCGAAAAATTACACGTTCTATATGGTACCTGAAACTCTGTGGCTTGACCGAGCGACGGCCACTTGTCGGTGAAGTTAGTGCCAACTTTAAAGGCCGCGACATAGCTCAAGCGGTTAGTCGCTGGCTTCCCACCGCGGCGGCCCGGATTCGATCCCGGGTCCGGTCAAATGGGATTTGTGGTGGACAAAGTGGCGCTGGGGCATGTTTTCTCCGAGTAGAGGGTGCCGCGTGGTCAGCACAACGAATCCCCACGGCTGTTAATTTCGGTTTTCTAGACTGGAACTTCTATTTCCTTGAAATAGCTCCTCAGTTATCCTCACGAGGTTGAGTGGACCCCATTCCAGATCCACTATTTCCCAGAAAATCTGGTAGCGCCGAGAATCGAACCCGGGCCTCTGAATGTATAGCCAGGAACTCTGGCCACTAGACCACAGAGGCGGTCCCCACCAGACTCTAATCTATGATTTTCATCCTCCTTCCATTTTACTTTAAATCAATTTTAATAGCATGCTCCCATCCAAGCATAGGTTTTCTGACGGGTGTCTTCCATTCAGGTCTTCCTTGTATGCATTTCTCATCTTCCCCAGGCGTGATACATTCCAAGCATTTCATCCCCTTGATTGATCACTCTTACAGTGTCCGGTAAGGAGTAAACATTATAAAGCTCCTCGTCGTGCAACTTTATCCAGCCTCCCGTTACTTACTTTCCCTTGATAAATCCAAACATTATCCTCAGCACCCTATTCTCAAACACCATCAATATATTTTTCCTTGTGGTCAGAGACCATAAAAAAGTGCCACTGCACGATTTCGTGGCTAACCCCACGAAACACGTGTGTAAAATGATGACGTTATGGACCGGAGCCTGGGAACTGTCCAACATTGCTCATGATTGCACAGGTCTACGGTTCCTACACTTCTCTGTCGCTGTCAGAGTCAAGGCTATATGGCATGAAATAGTAGGATGAATGATGAGCTGTGAAGTATCTGGAAGAAAGCGGTCGTGGTCTAATCGATGTGCCATCCCAATATTTGTCTATAGGAGCTGAAGAAACCCACGAAACACCTGTCAGGATAGCCTGCGTCCTGCCCGAGATCCGAACTGAGCACCTCCGGCATACAAGTCTAGATTACTGCCACTACATCAACCCGCTCTATTCTAAACTTACGTGGGAAATTATTAGTATTAGTAGGCCAATACGCCACGCTCACTCTACAGAGTCTTCTGCTGTTTTCAGCCATCTTCCTGTGCTGCTGTATCCGGTTCCGGATACCACGAACGAAGCAAGAGATCGAGGCCGACTACGTGAGGAAAAAACTCACCAAGAAGTTTCAAAAACATCTTCGTGTAATTCAAAATTCTGAGATGGACGACATGGATTTGAAAAGAGGTACAGTGCAGCCTTGCAGTGACTTCGGTTCCCGCGCATGCGTGATATCGACAGTGGGGCAGGAGGCACACATACTGGAGATCCAAGATCATCGTGAGTTAATGATGATGAGATCAAGTCCATCTCCCACCTACAGACTGAAACGCCACATTCCCCTAATACGTTTTCTGCTATACAGTATTCCATAGTTCACTTGTCGATTTGTTTATTTCTTTTTAATCCAAATATATAAACGCCCAATGCTTGTAACTCCATCATTATTTTGTCCTCATGCAAAGCAAATGTTGTTAGGAGTTATATATAGGACCGCCAGGGGGCAGTGAGAGGTACTTAGCTTCGTTCGAGACTGCACTCTCTGTCTTTGCCCAGAAGAAATTTCCATTATTGATGGGGTGCATGTACAATAAAATGTCGATTTTATGTAAAGAGTTAAACAGTGGAGGTCATATCTGTAGAAACTGTAGCTAGAAGTGGAAACTGCCTGTTTCGAAGGTTCCGGCCATTCGGTACATTTAAGATCATTCAGGATAATACAGAAGTGCTTATTAAACCAATGGAAGTTCACAGAATGTACATGGAAAAACATTAATTGTATTGCGGTGATATAAAAATAACAGCCATCAGAGAAATTAATAAAATACCTATTAGTGTTTGTTTTGTACCTGAGCGCCAAATTACTGTCACATAATTTTATAACTTGTAAAGTTGTAACTGAAATAGAAGTACAAGTATAAATCTCGTGTAGTAACGAACTAGACAATGACCCTTATGCTGCCCCGTTACCAATTGAAAATATAGTGATCAGGTATCAAAGTTTGTTTTTATAGAAATGTATGCCGGAAAGAAATCCTCTAGCAACAGTACAGCACAGTACATGTTATTATTTCATCAAGACTAATATTTCAGTACAATTGTAACTCTCATTCCAGAATGTTCCAAATTTTTCAAGTTAGTTGTGACAACCAGTTGTCACGTGTTGTGTATGTCACGCGACAAATACCTTTACGTGGGTCTCGGATTTAGCGAATCTTTATTGGACACTCACACTTACACGCCTTACAATTATTATCACTGGCAGAGTCACTTGACTTCTGGCCCAGTACTCCAATGCGACGTCTCAACTATCCTTGACCGTGGCTGGATCCCAACTGTTTCCGGCGACGGCTGTCTCAAGACTGTATCGTATGGCGACTAGGTTCCGACTGTCTTCTTGTTGTGCCGCCTCGGGTTTCGTGTCCACTGAGGTCGGCTCTTCTTCTTCTGGACGTTCCTCCATCTCTTGGCAGGCCAACGTCTCATCGCGGTTGTCGTTCACCCTTTTGTCTCTCATGGCGGCCATCTCTTCTCGCCATGCTTTCGTATCGGCCTCCCTTTCTTCCTTGTCGGCTCTGAATTCCTTCAGCAGCAGTTCCATCATCTGCTGTATGTCCATTCCTGTCGATCACGTGTGTAAGTCCAGTCTTGTAAATCGCAAAATATCTTTCAACAATTTCCCATTGAAATATCAGTGTAATTCACGCTGGTCTTATGTACAGTGTTATCAGTTCCTGACATATAAATGAAGACATCAAGTGTAGTATAATACAATAGTTTTGGAGATGAAATACGCGAGACGACAGACGGACGGATTAGACCTATGCACTGTGCTACCATTTTACACATTTCCTACCCATGATAGAATTGGCTTCACGATTAGCTTATATATACTCTCTTTATATATATAGTATAAATAATGTGCCGTTTTTGTGTGTTGTGTGATTATAGACGGGGTGTGGATTGATTATTAGCTTTACTGATCAGTTACATGCACCACTCGGAACTACAATTTATAGATCACTTACACATACAGGCGAGTGTCCTCAGTCTGTTACATTCTCCACTAACCGTTTCCTGGCAACGGCTTCTACCGAGGGAGATTCTTCGGCTTCCCTCACTCGGGTTCTCTTGTCACATCCACCCGTACAGAACTCCTGTCAACTGACAACTCAACAAACTAGGTCCCAGGCTGGTGGCCATTTCACACCAACCTACTGGCCTTCTCTCTACAGGCTGAATTCCAATTGAACTCCCAATCATCAATCAGCTACTTCACGTCACTTCACTCAGCTGAACTGCTGACAACTCTTTCGGAACTCGACTGACCCTGGTTGTAACATTTTGGGACGAACCACATAGAAAACGCCGTTTCCATTGTCATAGTCCAACAATATGCGATAGTTACATGGCCCGGCTCATAAAGAAACACACACACACACACACACAGGGTGAGTCAATGAATCGGTCGATTTTAAAAACGTTATGAACAGTAAACTATTGCCTTTATTTGGTTTTAACACATATGAATACTGTGTAAACATAAAAGCATTTGGTTTTTCCCAATGAACTAACCGAAAACAGAAGTATATTTCCAAAAAATAACGTCCGACAGATGACCACCATTCCGCTGTAGGCACTCGGTAAGTCTCTTCTTAAAGTCACTCTTTACTCTTTGCAGCATCTCTACGGGAATTCGTTCAACTTCTACCGGAATTCGACGTTTCAACTCCTGAACTATGTGGGGTGCGGGAGCTTTCAAAACTTGGGATTTCAGATATCCCCAGGGAAAAAATCACATTTGGAAAAATCAGGTGACCTGGTTAGGCATATGCTGTCCCCATATCTGGAGATAACATGGTTAGGAAACAGGTTATTCATAGCTGCCATGGAAGCTCGAGCGGTGTGGCACGTAGCCCCATCTTGCTGGAAAAAAACGTTTCTTCTTTGACTGGTAGACGAGAAAGTGCAAGAGCTAAGAAACTCTCCAACATGTGAACGTAACGTGGTCCAGTTACAGCCCTTTCCCACTCATCTTCAAAGAAGTACGGGTCAATAATTCCAAAACGAAGATAACGCGCACCGTACTGTGACTTTGGAACTGTGAAGTGGTCTCTCATAAATTTCCTTGGGGTTTGTGGCTGACCAATAGCGGAAATTTTGCTTGTTAACAAACCCCGATAAATGGAAATGAACTTCATCGCTCATCAGTAAGTTGTTAACGACATCTTGGTTTTGATTAAATA